CGTTCTTGAGCTGCCTAGCCACTTCCGCATCAGCGGGCCCTGCTGGGCACGGTCTCGCCGGTGCATGGGTTCAAAGGATGCCAAGGCCACTGACACGGGGGCGCTCTGGACTACGGTTGGTGGGGCACGGCACGCTGGCAGGTTAGCGGGTGCACGGGCGCGGGGCAGAGTATAGGGGCGCGACTCGGTCGGACTCGGTGTAGGGGAACGCACTCGGCGAGGGTCGGCTTCAAGTGACGGGGTGCAGACAGGGGTGTGCGCAGGGAAAGGACGCGCATCACACGGGACACGTTGACTGCTCTACGGCTACTGCGAGGCGCTAAGCAATCGGCAGTGCCGCTGGGCGCGGGTTGCAGCCTTGGCCGGTGACTCACTGACCGGCCAAAGATTTTTCCGGTAACCTAGGGTTCAACATAATCCTTATGATTCTAGAGTTCATTTAGACTATCATGACTCAGAAAATATGCTCGGATAGTAAAATTACCCGGTGCTAAAAAAAATGAGCCGATTTAGGGTTCTAATTATCCGGTAACCCTAACTCGTTTTAAGATGAAATTTTAACCATAAACTCAACATATTTTAGAAAGTTTCCAAATCTATAAACATCGGCAAAAGCACATCATATAAGACCTCAAAGAAATCACCAAGTTAGATCTAAAACCCAATTTTTGAAACCATTTCAAACGACCTTTAAAAATTTTCAAATTTTAAACACAACCTCAACATAATATTAAGATTTTTTGGTAAAATATCGCAACAATACTGGATCTATAACTTGCTCAACATAAACTTTTTATTTTAGATCTAGATCTATAATTTTCCTTCACATAGCAAATAAACTGCAAATATTCTCAAGTTTAAACCACAACATCTACACAATTCTACGATTTATGGAATTTAAATCACGATTTTTTGACACGCGTTGCTCAAGATACGAAATTTGGCATAATAAAGGCAATAAATCTAGATCTCCCATTCTAGCTCCATTTTTTTTTGATTTTATATTTTTAAAATACTATAAAATTCATATCTACGTCATGGAAGAAAGGAAATATAGATCTACCTCTTGAAGGACTCAAAAAAACAAAAAAGAAAGATGAAGGTGGCTTGTGGGGGCTCGGTTAGGGGCAGATCTGAGCTGTTGGGATCTGGAAGCTGTTGGGCGCGTGCATGGATCTGGGAGCAGGCGGGCGCTGGCGCTTGGGAGCCGGGACCTGGGCGCTGTAGCACATGGAGATGGCGTGCGCCTGGGGCAATTGGTACCCCGGGTCTGAGCGGCTGGGCACGTCAGATGCTAGGCTCAGATCTTGGGCTCGGTTATACAAGGGACCGAAAAAACATGACTAGGGCTAAGGAATTTTTTGAACTCAGGGTATTTTAGGACTTGGGAAAAATTGCTTGGCTAAGGAAATATTGCTTGGATAAGGAGAGGAATTTCTTGAAAATGAAGATGAAAAATGAAGACTAATGGGGTGATGGTCTTTATATAGTGCTAGGGTTTGATTAGGGTTATGGGACATGGTTGTTGGGAGAATTTGGACTATTCTAAGCTTGTCCCCCATAGTACACTCATGGTAGGTAGGAAATATAATGCTACTCTTGAATTTGAATGCTACTCTTGAATTTGAAGACGATTAGTCAAAACCCTATATGTCAAGACTTGGGCCAAATAAATTAAAGTGGGATTGGGCTTCATGAACAAGAGCTGGCCAAATAAAACAAATGTTGGGGAATTTAAGTTGGGCTCAACCAACTTGGGCCATGGGCCGTGTGGGGTTAGCTTGGGCCGAGGTCTCGGCTCGTCCGAGCTTCGACCCTTAAAATATTATTTTTGAGTTTGCTAATGCTCGATTCGGGATAGAGATAGCCAAGTTCACGCCCATTATTCTAAGGAAAAGTTAACAGATACCTAGGCTAAATAAATTCGATTTTGAAACTAAAAATCAAACGGATTCTCCATGGCTTGGACTTAAAATTTATAAATCAATTTAAATGCTCGAAATAAATATAAAAAACTTGAAATAAATAAAACTTTCTATAAGTGGAACTAAAGTCGAGCTATATATAATAAAAAGATTTGGGGCATTACAGTTGCAATTTGAAATCAAAGATGGATAATCTGTTAAAATCTAGGACTATCCTTGGGTTCCCAATATTGCAGGGCACATTATGACTGGTAAGAACCACACAAACTTACTTAACATAGGTCAAAGATCTTATGGAAGACTCTGGAAGGAAGTGGAACATGAGACTCATAGAGGCAAGCTTTCCACAACATGAAGCAAAGGCAGTCTTGTAGATTGAGGGTCTAGACCCTCACACCTCAGACAGAATAAAATGAGATTGGGACAAAAATGGAAATTTCTTTGTGGCTTTTATTTATAAAAAAAAACTCATTGTGATCAAATGGAGAAAACTGGACCTGACAGATTCAAGCTCAAGTTCTCAGGAGCTAAAGAAAGCAAGAAAAAGGAGTTAGTAGATGAAGGTAAACGTTATTAGAATATTCACTTGTGGGACCACACTCATTTTTCCCTCCGTTTCTTACATGGTATCAGACCAGGTTCTATTGGGACCGTGCGATGACGTACCCGTTTCCCAGCCTGTTTCTAGTAGGGCTTTGGCACCCGGCTCCGTATATAGTCTTGGGCTACTTATGAAGGACTCACAAGTGAGGGGGCGTATTAGAATATTTACTTGCGAGTTGCCCCACATCATTTATATAGGGAAAATATGCCTAATTTATAAATCTAATGGGCTACTCCTCCCTCCACCAATTGGGTTTGGGATGGAACCTCACTTGGGTTTTATTTGGGCTTTCCCTCTTATGGTGCGTTTCATCTGCGTGGGACCCCACCCGTTTCCCCCCGTTTATTACAAAAGGGAAATTGAAGCACTTTGTGTGGAAAGAGATAAACAATATCATTCTAGTTAGAAGCAACGTCCACTCTAGAGGAGTCCAAATTGATCAAATTTACAAAGTATGTATAGAAGGCATTGAGACTCAAGAGCACTTGTTTTTCCAATGTAGAAGGGCAAATTTATATGGACACTTTCACCATTGTCATGGGATGGATTCAAGAACAAAGGTTTCAGTTTCAAATATATGGTGGCGGCACTTATGCTCACTGCCACACAGCTCCATTTATGAAGACATCAACTATGTTGGATTTGGAAAACCTGTAACCTCTGGGTTTTTCAAAACACCCTTAGTTCAGAGATGGACACTGTAAATATTGTTGTTAGGGAATGGTCTGAGTTGGGTAGCCTTAGTTCTGGTTAGTTACTTTTATTTTCCTTGTAATTGTTGTTTAGGTTCTGGTTTAGTTTGCTTAGTCATTTTGATAGCTAGCTAGGTTCCCATTTGGAACAGCGGATAGCTATTTTTGTTCTCCTTTGTCCCCTATTAGGGAGATATATTATCAGGCATGGGGGACTGGTGCTAATCCCGGGGTCGGTACAATGAAGGAGGCCGAAGCCTAGCTAACTACTCGACGAGGGTATGAGTCCCCTATAATATCGTGCTCTAACCAAATTCCCATATCCTGAGAGGGGGATTGTACTCGCTGAAAACCCACCGGATACGATGCTGCCAACCCCGCCAAATAATCTGCTGCGAAATTTGCTTCCCTATGAACATGATGGATTCTAACGTTCCAATCTCTTTGGACCAGGCCACGTATTGCCTTAACCTGCGAACCATGTACTCCATTAACTCCTTCGTGGTTCCGTTCCATTTTCTCCATGCATGAGCTATCGACCTCGGCAATCACATGCCGATACCCCAAGTCCCAAGCTAATTGCAATCCTTGAAGGATCCCCCATAGCTCGGCACTGGTAATGGTGCAATGCCCGGTGTTCATTACAAACCCCTCAATCCAACAACCCATTTCATCTCGAATTAGCCCGCCGGCGCTACTCAACCTCGGTAGATGATCAAATGCTCCATCACTATTCACTTTCACCCATCCCACATCCGGAGGAGTCTACTGAATCATTCATGTAACATGCAACTTCGCACCTGCCCTCGCGTAATCCGCTTCTTCCCGAGAGTAACTGTCTACCAGGCTCAGCACCTCGATCTTCCTAGCCTTGTTTGTTGGAAATTATTCTCGAAGATCCTTTCATTATGCCACTTCCATGTTTGCCAAACCGCAATCGAATAAATGCCACTCCAGTTCCCAGGTTCCCTACCTCGCCTCAACATGAGATTCTTATGGACCCAGATTTTGAGAGGTTGCTGGAAAAATGTTCCATCGTGCTCCACCGGTAACAGTCACTCCCAAAGGGCTTTGGCAGGCGGGCAGTCCCGTAGAACATGGATAACGAATTCACTCTCCCCACAGAGGTCGCAATCCACAGAGCTCGCTATGTGTGCCGCCTCACTCGTTCACTGTTAGTGAGAAGTCTTTCTTTGGCTGCCAACCATAAGAATGTGCGTGCTCTTTGAGGTGTCGGGACTCACCAGATAACATTCCATAATGGTTGGTCGGGGTCGCGCTCCACACGAGATAAAGGCCTGATATGCTGACTTAGTCGAAAATTTCCCGTCGTCGGAGAGCCCCCAAGTAATTCGATCCTCTCCTGCCGCATCGCTCGGAGGAGGATTACCTGCTATGTGAAGAATTATGGCCGAAGGGAGTATTCCGTGAAAGCAAGCCCATTTCCACCTTCCATATTCGTCTACAAACTCCGCCACACTCGATTGAAGATTCACTTTTTGCGACTGTGGGTTTACGTACCGAATCAACGGTCCCGCAGAACCAAGCCATGCATCGAGCCAAAACCTGGTCGTTTTGCCATCGCCGAGTGCCCAGCGCACCCCGGTAACCATCTTGGGCCACAATTTGCTGAGTGCTCGTAATAAGCCGGTTCCCCGCCCCACATAAAATAATACCAGACTGTTCGAGGGAAATAAGTTGTACTTGGCTGTAACCACCTTCACCCATAGGGGATCCAAATTCGTCAATAATTTCCAGCCCAGTTTCATTAACTATAGCCGAGTTCATCCTCCAGAGGTCCTTAACTCCCAATTCTCGCACATCTCGAGGTTGACATATTTTCTTCCAAGCTACGAGGTGTAATTTCCTACGTCCTTCATATCTGCCCCACACGAAAACACGATTTCTCCGCTTAAGCCCGTCTGTGATTGACCCTGGGAGCACAGTAGTCTGCATAGAATAATAAGGGAGCGCGCTTAAGACCGACTGAGTAAGAGACACTCTTCATGCGAGGGACAAGGACTTCATTCGCCAGCCTGCTAGTCGCGATTTCGGGTTCTCCAATATATGAGAAAACTTGTTTGTGGTTACGCGTCCATGAACAACTGGCATTCCCAAGTATTTGCCCAAGTTGTCCGTTAGCTTGAAGTTAAGAACCTTTTCCAGCTGGAGACGTTCTTGGGCCCCCACGTTCTTGGAAAAGTAAACTTGAGTATTCACCGAGCTCACTTTAAGCCCCGACCGATAGCAAAAACCTATCAAGGACTTGCTTCAATACTCTAGCCTGATCATCTGAAACCTCCAGGAAGAGTAGGAGGTCATCGGCAAACATAAGGAATGGCACGTTGACAGCACCCCTCCCAACCGATATCGGTCGCCAATCATGTGCTTCAACAGATTTGCAAATGCTCTGCGCCAACCTCTCCCTGTAGAGTACAAACAAATAAGGTGATATAGGGTCCCCCTGCCTGACTCATCGGGTTGGTCAGAACTCCTCTCCAATTGTCCCATTCCATAGCAGGTTCATCGATGCTGAGTTGACACAAACCATGACCGCATGAATAAACTTATTAGGATAGCCGACTATACGCAATGTTTCGTCAATGAAATCCCAACGAAGGTAGTCGTAGGCCTTCTCAAGGTCCACCTTAATAACCATGAACCCTTTTCCCCCTCTCTTCCCTCGCATAGAGTGGATTAACTCTTGAGCAACAATGATATTATATGTAATCTTACGACCCGAAAAAAAGTTGGCCTGTGCTGGGTGGACCAAAACTGGCAGAGTATGCTTCATTCGACTCACCAAGATTTTGGTGAATAGTTTGTAAATCACATTAAGCCGACTGATAAGCTGGTACTGTCTGATTGTGGATGGATGCTCCACTTTAAGGATTAAGACAAGCAAGGTGCGGTTCACTTTGGTCGGGATATCCCCCTCGTGCCACATTTGTTTGATAAAAGACCGAACTGCAGGGCCCACGATCTCCCAATTTTTTGAAAGAACAGAGCATTTAGGCCATCCGTACCTGGCGCTTTCAACGACCTCATATTGTGGAGAGCAGAGAAGATCTCATCATCCGTGATATCATTCTCCATGGGTTGCAGAAGATCACCTTCACAAATTGGGAAGAGATTTGGCGGGTCCTCAGCTATCACTGGGGCCGGTCCTGCGGTGAAGATGTTTATAAAGATATCCGTAGCTAATAGATGGAAGGCCTGATCCGTTATGTGGTTCCCTGCATCATCCGTTAGCTCAATAATTTTTCCCCGCCTTCTTCGATGCTTAATTTGCCGGTGGTAGTAAGTCGTATTCCTGTCCCCGAGGTAGGACCAATCCCTCGTAGCCTTCTGTATCAACAATAATTCCTCTTGTTTGATCACTTCCTCAAGCTCAGTGCGGAGTTGTTTTTCGAGGCTCACTAATCGGCCCCGTAAGTAGAATTGTCGACTCTTCTGGATCCCTTCTATTCGGGTCAGGAGCCTTTTTTCGGTGGAAGATATTCCCAAGAACTTGAGAGTTCCACTTCTAAGCCGTCAACACAAAACTATCCGCCGCTTCCGCATAGCAATGGGAGGGTTGCCACGCGTTTTGCAGCATATCAGAAAAGCCTGGATAGAGAAGCCAGGTGGCCAAAAACCGGAAGGGCTTCGCACCATTAGTGATGTGGCTAGTTCGGCCAAGTCCCAACAAAAGCAGTGAATGGTCTGATTGAACCCTTGGGAGAAGGCGAGTCCTGGCCATTTGAAAGACTCGAGCCAGGGAAGGTTAGCTATGAATCGGTCCAGCTTCTCGGCCACTCTTCCATTTCACCTGTCTCGGATCCACGTAAAAAGATGTCCGTCCGTTGTCACTTCTTGAAGGCTATTGTTGAAGATCCAATCCGCGAACTCCTAGCTAATGTTACAGTAGCTTGGTGAGCCCCCTATTTTCTTGGAGCGGGGAAGAAGACAGTTAAAGTCTCCTCCAATAATCCATGGTTCATAAATTCTCGTCGCCAGCCTCTCCAAATCTGTCCACATCATCTTGCGAGCCGAAGCAATAGGGCTACACAAACGACACCAGACTGCTGATGTCATTTTTGGTTAGTCGGACATGCACCATCTGACGGGAACAATCTAGTATTTCAGCCGTCACCACGTCATTCCATAGTATCCAAATTCCCCCCAAAAACCCCCGGGCTTCAATCCAGAAAGAGTTTCAAATTTACTATATCTCATGAAATTGTCTACGTTCTTGCCACTGATACGCGGTTCGAAAATGGCCACCACATCAGGTGTGTATTGATGGACTAAGGTAGAGAATGCTTCCTGGAATCCTGGCGAGCCTGCACCCTGAACATTCCACGTGATTATATTATTGTGAAACCAATAAGAAAGAAGTGGCCATACGCCATTAATCAAGGTCATGGACCTGCATGTCCGAGCACTCGTCCATGCATTTGCGATCTCCGGGATTTTCCTTCCAGTCGCCATGCCGGTTCATATACTCTGGCCAAGGTTCCTGGCATCTGATGTACTGCTCACCCTCCATCATTATTGCGTCGCCAATGGGGACCACGCTAGACGTGGCCTGTGAGTTGATGGTCAAACAAGGTGAAGTCTGCTTTTCTTCTACATCGATTGCTTTGTGTTTGTTCGCATTTAGTCCAGCACCCACGGTGATAATGCGTGTTTGATTCTGTGACTGGATCTGGGCTTGGGGCCCATCGTTCACCTGACTTGCCCTATTAGATCTAACCGATCCGCGACTTTCTTTATGGGTTTCATGCACGTTAAGATTTGAGTTGCCCTCTGGCCCAACCTCCTTCACTGGCCCAACCTCCGTCACTGGCCCATTTACAACATGCGATCTCACACTTCCCCCGTTGGCTTTAGCTTGGGGTTTTCCTCTCCTCGTGACCACGCGCCAATCTTTCTCCCCCGAATCTCCCGATTTCTATTTTGACAACCCACAATCTTGCTCATGATTGGCCACAGATGAACTCCCAAATTCAAAGATCGGATTTGATTCCCATAATCCCTCCCTTTCCAAAATATCAAAGTGAGAGCCCTTCCCCATGAATGGTTGCGGATTTTTTACGGGTTGAGCCCTATCCGACCCCTTATCGCGCCTCGGGTACGTCTGACGTGGCTTCTGTGGGACCTGAATCCATGGCCCAAACATCGTTTCCTCGCCGTTAACCGTTGTGATATCGTGCTTGTACCAAACATATATTTTATCATTTGAGTGTTAATAATTAATCCTGTCGTTTTGAGGGGAAAAAAAAAATCGAAATATCACTGGAAAAATTTGAAATTCTAGCATCAGACCAAATTAAGACCCACGGGCGAGTATTGAGTCGTCACTCCTCCTCATCAAGAAAACTGCAAATGAGTTCAGCCCAAAACCGCCTCTTTTCTGCTTAATATGGCCATGGGATGCTAACAACAGTAATAACGATCCCTGCTCTTTGGATACCCCTTGGCTTTTCAAGTTGGTCAAGAATTTAACCGCTGCGGCCCTCAATTTTGCACTTGTCCAAAAAGGCCCTTTTGCATCCACCGACCAAAAGAGAAATGTTTTGAGCCCTCAAGAGCAAGGAGAGGCGGATCAGAGGGCATATGCGGGCGCTCTAGCGAGCGGCAAAGGTGCGACGGTCGTTGAGTTTTACTCTCCAAAGTGTGGGCTCTGTAATTCTTTGCTGGGTTTTGTGATGGAGGTTGAAAAGAGGAACTCCGATTGGCTCAACATCGTTATGGCCGATGCAGAGAATGATAAATGGTTGCCTGAGGTAATTTACTTTTTTTTTTTCCTCCCTTTATTATTTGTGTGGTTCTTCTATAGGTTGATCTAATTCCAAAAATATTGTTTTCCCTTTCTGTGATTTTCTCCATTTATTTCCCTTCCTTTTGGATTCTTGACAGTGATTAAATGGGCAAAATTTAACCCTACATGAGCATTTGATGGGATCTCATTACTGTTCATATTACATGAGCTTCGTTCATACCTTTTTTCCCTTTTTTTTTTTTTACTTCAATTAATTTTCTTTATTCGGCAAATGCAGCTCCTCCATTACGACATCAAGTGCGTCCCGTGCTTCGTGTTGCTCAATAAAAACGGGAACGCACTTGCAAAGACGGGTGTTCCAAGCAGCAGACTCCATGTGATAGCAGGTGTTTCCCATCTTCTCAAAATGAAACCACCTCACAAAAATTAGTAATAAATGTCTTCTGAATCAGACTGTAAAAGAGGTTCTCTTCAAGAATTAAGGATATGATGAGTTGCTAGTTAATTAAATGATGTTAATCTTCGACTTTTGTATTGCAAAGTCGACTTGTTAAAACTTCAATGGGGATTTCACATTATGAATTTAAACGACACTTGAATTGAATTGCACTGGATCCACGATTCTAATCAACCTCCAGACAACGTTGGAGAACTACAACGTAGATTGATTATGTCTAAATCACAACTATCAAAGATTTGCACCCAAAAAATATACCACTAAGTAATTGATAGATAATCTCGTGTCATTGGCAAAGAAGTTGCAATAATAAATTACATAAAACCGCAAAAGCATGAATGAAACCTCACCTAAACCATGTAAAGAAACCATAATCTTAGAAATTCACGCGCAACCACATATGAAGCTCGATCATAGTTTGAACCCTCGAATGATGTTCCTAGCTTCTTCAAGCACGTCCGTGTGACCAACATTTGTCGCCCATATATTCAGCAGTGTTGGAACCGCCATATCCACTTTAGTCAAGTGCTCTTGCAACCAGCTACAAAGTTTTGCATCCATGAGGTTGCCATCAATAGTCTGAAAAAAAAATAATAATAATAATATAAAAGTAATTAAAGGAAAATAGCCAAATCTGTAAAGTCATCGAGTGGGAAAAGGACAGTGAAAGAAAAACGCAGAAGTGTTTCAAAATAAATGGTATTCATGAACCAATAGAACAGGCCAAGGAGTAAAAGGCCTCAAGTTTTATCAAAGCACAGCACCTCACTATATATGGCAGTGCCTAGCTGATATCTGAAGAAGCAACTACCACACACCACGAACAACTACCATCACAAGTAAGGTTCAAAGTAGGAAAATCCACAATCTTCAAATATCCAAAGAAAAGCCATATACAATGTTACAATAAGATATGTAATGCAATTTCAGTCACGTACAATGCGTTAATGCTGTTAATAGTGACAGTGGCAATATCATATGTATGTATATACACACGTATAACAGCATCACTGTATCTGATAATAGCATCACATTTGACACATAATGACGTAAAATAACTCCAATTTTATCCGTGTCATTCCCTATTGTACTTGGTTCTCGTAAACACATAACTGTAACCTCAAGAGGAGAGACTATGTAAAGTAACTACAAATCTCAATGAGATTTTGTATTAAACTGAGTGTCTACTTGTAAATTCTAAAAGATACTTCCCTGATTAGGTTTAATCACAAGGGATGATTTATAGCTTATCTCAAATCAAAATGGTCTCTTTATCTGGTTGATATTTTAATATCATGTCTTTAAAAGAGAGAAAAAAAAGGAAAAAGAAAAATAAAATTCATCCGTCACAATCAGAGTTGTTACTATTCAGAGTTTGTGCCCAGATCAGATTATGCCTGCTACTAGCTTACCCAAGACACACTAGAAATAGCATCAGCAATCAAGCTTCTAAGAAGGTCTTCATCCGAGCTAACAATTAATCCATCCGAACCAACAGAAAATGAAAGGTCTTGGCACGAAGAATCAAACAAGGACCCATAATTTTTCACCACAATTCTGCCATGCTTCTCTAACATCTGGTTGAGTTGGTTTATAGTGGAGCTGCATTGTGGGCCCGTGCCAGATTTGGATACCCCCAAAGTTTCTGCTGAATCTTGAAGTAAATGCTCTTTGGGCTCCAACCCAAGTAAGATTGCAGCCATCTCAGAGTCAGCCCAACAGCAGCAGCAGGATGACCCATCATCTAAACATTCAGAAAGGAAAAATGGACAAAAGACACGACTTCATGAAAAGCTTCACGTGGAATATTATTTATAATGGCATCATGATGTAAGTCTAAATATTGCAGCCTGGAAGGATTTAATGACAAATTCTTAATCCACACTCTTTCTGAAAATAAAATGATATTTAGCACTGAAAAATTCCAAAAAAAAAAGGAAAGAAAAGAAACTAAAAAAGGGATGGTTGTTAATGCTTTTAATTTTATTACATTATATAGTGAATTGTATTGTGGATGTATTTAAATGCTCCAATTATTGAATTGTCGGGGTTTCATAAACTTTGTATACTCTAAAATTTAAAATACAAAATATCGGGACAGAACAAGTACCTATGACAAAACCAGCAAATGGTATCCCCAAAGCAGATTGTTCAGAGGTTGCACTTGATTGAGAAACTGCACTTGTTCCAGCTTTCTCTACTAGAAGTGTATAAACAGCTACAACCTGTTGTCAATTTTCGTCAAACCAAAAGTCCATAAAAGGAAACTAGTTACTTCATAATTGGAAATGAACGTCAATGAAATGAAACAAAGCAACTAAGAAAGAGGATTAAGGTGGAATACAAGGTATACACTCGAGGAATTTGCAAAAGATTTTACCCTGCAATGAAATTGCATCACTTTAGGCTCTAACCATTGGAATGCATCACAGATTAGTGATATGGGAATGACTTCCGGAATAGTTCTACCAGTTAAGCCTACAGCAGGTGTACAGGCATCATATTCCTCGTCAGCGAGTATTTTATTCATCAAGGATGTGTTGTTGATCGTGATGAAAGATACAGGGGTCATCATATACTTGTCCTGCCCACTGGGAATGAAAATGTTTCCAGTAAGATCATGAGACAAATGAATAATTACTAGTCCACAATAACACATCGTTGTAGGAATTTATAAGTCACATAATATAAATTCAATAAACAATTATCCTAGAAGATGCTTTAAGTTCTAGGGGCATTAACATTTTCTTGAGCAAATATATTATTTCCTTAGTTATGCAACTTTATGCTATTCATCTTCAAACTACCTTAAACAATCTGGCCCATCTCATACACTAGCACTGGAACTACCGCGGATTTCACCATATTACAAATTGTGGTTAAACCCCAAAAATCACCGTACTAATATACTCAATGACATGTATCAAATATGATGAGTAGCATGAAAATTACATGCAATGTTATGTTGACAATGTTTATTTCCAACTGGTATGGCTTAAAATCCTTAGCGAGATTAATCCATAAATGCAACACAAAGTCACAAAAAATGACAAACTTTAGTGATTCATAATGAATCGGAACCATCAATATTCTGCAGAAAACTGAAGTGACAAAGTTTAAGAAACATTAAACACCAACTCCCACTGAAATAATAATATCTATAATAACATTTATATGAGCAGTATGCTCATAAAATCCTTAATGTTAATACCTTAGTGTACTATACCTTATTTAATGGAGTCATGAATTTGCTATCCTAAATTCATTCTTATGTGTTTAATAAGAAATTCATTATATAATAGTTTCAAATGGTAAAATAATATTATTACAATAAAATTTCAGTGGTATTCAATACCATCCTTAACATGCAGTTAAGCAGCCTAATTGATAATATTATGCAACCATATCCTTATAAGATGCCATTTTAAAAGGCAACAACAACAACAACAACAACAACAACAATAATAATAATAATAATAATAATAATAATAATAATAATTGCCAAGGAGGAATAATTTATAGTGTCTACTTGACACTTTCTGAATTAGTTCTTCCAACTAACAATTAATAATTTAGATCCCTTTAACTATGTAGATGTCAAATAAACTCAAAATTATCCTTAAGTGAGTATAAACTCTACTTTGTTATCAAACAACACTTTATATACCCTTTTGGCAACATTCAAGCGGTTAATAATCAAGGTTCAATCATTTGTCAAATAATTACATGCATGTGGAGTACAAACACATACATTTTTAAAAATACAAAATATTACCAACCATACGTATATGTTTTGCATTTTCAAAACTTCATTCTTATTCTTAGGACAATGAATGAGATAAAACTTAATTTTCCTCAAAGTATCTACCACCCGATCTATAGAATATTCAATTCTTAACTTAAATTATTTGGATACAAAATGAGATTATTACTTAATATAATTGTAATCGCGTAGAGGGAATTAACTTCCAAAACAAATAATTCAAAAACGAAATAGAATACAAAGAGTTTGAAATTTAATTAATTAAATCAATCACACGTAATAAAAATCTTTCTGGTTGTTAATAAGATAGATTTATTTTCTTAGTTGATGGAATGTTTGAAAATTTGGAACTTTATACCTTATTGACTTATATCTTATCAAACACTAATTTAAATTACACCTCATTCAATACTCAACCTCATTCAAAACTCACCTAAATCAATCAAAAAATCCTATCATTATATGTAAATATTTTTTTAAATACAAATTCATCTTATCAAGAATCTGTCAAAAATCCTACCAACCTTAAACCATAGTACATTTACAACAATTTTTAATAAAAATTTCATGTTATCAAGTATCTTGATTTTATTAGATTTTATTCGAAATTCATATATTTCGTAAATATCATGAAAAAGGTACATTTTTAATCAAATAAAAATAAATACCCCTTCAGATTAAATAAAGTACATGCTTAATTTTTTTGAATTCAAATTTAATTTGACGTCTTGATTCATATTAATTATCCATTGATAAAGATGTGGTCAAGTAAATTATAAATATTTATTTCATGACTTGTATATAAACAATCTTATTACATTCTATTATATAATAACAATAATGTGATATATGAAATACATGTCTTATTTATTATATTTTATGTTGGTAGACGGTGATTCAAGAATAGCATAGAATAATTTAGATGTTTTTAGACATGTTTTTCAAGAATAGTTTAGAAAATTTAAGGTGATTTCCCATAAATAATATAGAATATATAAGTATTTGCACACATAATATTTAACATTTTAGGTACTTTTAATATTTTAGATAGATAGGCATGCTTTACAAGTTTTTGGACAAATTAACTTTCAATTAGCTTCAATTAACTAAAAATGGTTAGCATTTGTTAATTTCCAACAAATTAATAATGTATGGTAAATCATATTACATGTTAATCCTATATTTTTAATTAAGTATCATTTAATATTATATATTTGTGCATCAAACGGATTCGTACTAGTTTGCAATTGGAAAGGTTAGTTCTTTTATGGACAAACTGAAGCAAGTTCACTGGAATGCCGATCAGGATTTTGAGATATGTGAAGAAATCTCAGGGAAAAGGACTATGGTTCAAGAAAAATTGGCATTTGGAAATTGAAGCCTATTCAAATGCTTATTATGTTGGAATGACGAATATCAACGCTCCATTTCAGGTTATTGTACTTATGTCAGAGGAAATATTGTAACTTGCTAGATCACTGTTAAGGCTGAGTATAAAGCCCTGGCACACGAAGTAACTGAGATCTTACAATTGAAAAATCTATTCGAAGAACTGGGGTTCACCACTGAACCACTACCAATGAATTGTGATAACCAAGCAACTATTCAAATTGGAGTAAACCAATTTTTCACAAGAGAACAAAGCATATTGAGGTTGACTATCACTTCATTCAAGAGTGTGTAAAGTCAGAAGATTTCAACTCATTTCATATCGTCCCAATCAAGTTTCTGATATAGTGATATATTAACTAAATGGTTAGGAGGATTACGGTATTCTAAATTATGAGGCAAGCTGGAATTGACCGACATATGTTCCAACGAGAAGGTGAGTGTCGGAAATTTTATTGTATCTTTCTCTTGATTTAGATAGATTAAAATGTTTTTTTTATGGTAAGATCATTTTTGTATACGACACAATTGTAACATTGTTGAGATCCATTTGCCTAGAAAGAAAAGCCCCTTCTCCCCTACACTTATGGTTGTGCCACTACAAATCACAGGTAACCCTCAGTCCGGCCAAACCCTGACCTAAGATCGATCCGTGTGACCAGTTTACTTACTTCTCTAGCGAGATCTACGATCTCAACCCACAAACTGTTGGGAGTAGGCATCAAAGCTTTGCCAACCTAGTAAAGGGATTGGAGATAGAGGGTTTTCTATGTTAGATCCAATTTCCAGGTTGGAATTTTTTAGATCAAATAGGCTTGCGTTGACCAGGGACCAGGGAGTTTGGCCAATCACTCCCCATTTTTATAAATGATCCAAAATGGAATTCCCCACCAGATCTAATAGTATATACCCTTATCGAGATTCCTTTGCACTTGCAGTACACATAGATATCATTTTCTCTCTTCATATTTTTCAAAATTAACTTCAACAAAGAATATGATACTTTCCGAGTAAACATAAGGCATTTGAATGCATACGATCCTTATTGCAACAAAACCCATTTATGGTGTAACCGTAAAAACCAAGGCATACGAACCAACGATAATGATACAAACATAGTGGGAGATCGCATACCTTACTACAAGGATCCGGTGAAAGGTTGCATAAGTATCCCTGCCTAAGCCAACAGGGAAAGTTTGTTTACCTACATCACAGATGATTCTGGCCTGAAAAAAATAAATGAATAAAGTAAGACAGAAAATTAATCAGTATTAAGCAAAACAGTTCGGTACAAGAAGAAACTACCATTCGACTGTCCACCAAAACATGCACACATACACCACCACCATTCCCATTGTGAAACATCGGTAAATAACCTTCACCAGCTATGATAGGCTTAGGTTGTGCAGGAAAAGCATCATCATTACATTCATGCAAAGCAACTACAAGACCGTGTAAAGTTATTAGGTTTCCTTCGGGCAAATTGCAATTAGAACATGAAATGCTTAAAGACTGCATGGATGCATCTATCACAGGCTGAACAGGGTCAAGGATGTCAACTTCCTCGAGAGAGTAATTTCGCCCAGAAGGACCCCTCTCCCATGCCTTAGTGAAACTCTCCAGTAAATTTAGAGCACTGGAAGGGACAAACACGCTAATTTCTGAATGAATCTTACTGTCCACATCATTATTAGGCGGACATGGAAATGCATTGGAGAGATGAGAACTATGGAGACTTTCGATTGATGAGAACGAAATACTTCTGAGAATGGTACCAGAACTAATGTTAACTTTAGCACGGCTGACTTGATAATTTTCTTTTATAGAACATAACATGTCTCCATCTTGATGTGAAACTAGGTAACAACGACCAATTTTGGCTACCTGCAATTGAAGAAAGATACAATATAAACTAATGAATAAAGAAACTCATTAGAATATTCTATTTATAGATAACAAAAACAAGATCACACACCTCGTATCGGCTAAAGCTATCAGGGTCGAATTCCAGTAATACCTTCCTCATTGGTAGTTTGCAGACACAAACAATCTCAGTAAGCTCATTAGCACAAAAAAGCATACCCGTGCAATAACTACTTACACCTTTAGTGGCAACTACACAAGGCAGTTCTAGTGGATTATTCCAAACGCAAGGGTTGCTGCAAGAACTACAGGAATCACTTATTCCATTCCGAGCATCATTCAGACCACCATTGGAAACCTTAATTGGAATTTGCTCAGGTTTTCTTCTCTTATGTACAAGATGGTTCTCATGTCTGGCTATGCTTTCTACAGAAACCTTACTATATTCTGAGGGAGCCGCGATCATGACCGTATCTCTACTTGCCCCATGAAGAAGCAAATCCCAGGGCAAGATGATTGCCTGAGCAAACATGTTGGACCCCTTTGCTAGATCTCCTTGAAACTGAAAAAAATGAGATAACGTAAAAGATTGTAAAGCGTGGGGCATGCTAGATACAAACAAAAACATCAGTTGTCTTCGCAGAAAGTGTTACCTTTTGCTTAATAGGAAATTTGTGTGTCAACAAAAGCAAGTGAAATTTTGCATTTTCAAGCTTCTGGGACTTCTCAGTCAATTCAAAGAAAACAGAATGGCCTCTAGAGTCTTCATCAATCAAACAGTTACATAGATAGATCGACAACTTCATCCTTTTTAGGGGTAGCGCATTACTAAAAATACTTCGGCAAGATAAAGGCTGATATATGGTTGAATCCAAGTCAACCAGCTTTGGGGGCATGCCTTCTATGACTAGTCTGAAGCCCTTTGCCTGAATATCATGAAAATATACTATCATCATTCACGAACCAAGTGGATATTCGTACAAACTGAAGCACGTATAAGAAAGTTGTTCCAATGCCACCTCAAATATCCTATCAAAATCCCAAGATTCTGAAAGGTCATGCATGATGTCAACTTCACCAGTTGCATCAACTAGCTGCAATCTTCTGGAAGATAAAGAAATCTGACAGAACATTCAGGTCAAACTGTAAGAAACGTTAGTTTTCAATAATTAAGTTGACAAAGATCCAAATTAACAGAGTTATTCATAACATCTATACTTATGAGATTCCATGTGCTCCTATTCATTAAACAAATGCCAAAATAGAACAAAAGAGCAAAAAAAAGAGAAAACACACACACGTATATCGTTTTCACACGACATTCATGCGACACCCTATGGGCAAAGAATGAACCTTAGTTATCCACTCTTTTCCTAGTATTAGATCAGACACGTAAAGCATATGAATATGAATCAGACATACAAGTAAACAATAATCAGTTTTAAATATCACAAGCGAAATGGCAAGTTTATTGAGGCACTCTTGGAGTTGGTTTAATGATGTTTGCTCTTACCTTAAGCTTTCCCAGAACACTAACACCAATTTCATCAGTGCACAAGATTTTTCTAAGTGATTGCACATGAGTTCTTCCACCACAAGATAGCAACTTTTTTGGAGCTCCGCAACCAACAGTAGATAAATTCTCCTGTTCATGGAGTTTCTTCCAAAAACCCTCACCATAACTAAGTAAATTACCAATAGGTAGCACCTGAAACAAATACATACAAGCACAGATTATGCACACCTGTCAAAAGCTTCAAGACTCAGGATATTATTACATTTGATGAGAATAAGTCCAAAGAAACAACTACGACGATTACAATCAGAAAATAATTCACACGCTTAATCTCACCAATCTCAGTGGACCATGAAGTTCTTCTTTGGCACCACAAGACAGATCATGCTTGCAGAATTCCAGCATTATTCCTTGCTGCATAACAAATGTTTGCTCGTGAAGGTGGCAAATAATGTTGAGAAAACCAGTCCAAATGTTATTCTAACTAAACAAAATTTACCTGAGATCGGTAAACCGATGATGGCAAAAGGGATGTAGCATACTTCTGAGCCATTCCTGCCTTCTGAGAACACCTTACATCGTAAGACCAACTCAGATTAACTCTATGTAGTAAAAGAGAATGCATATTTGGGAAATTATAAATAAGCATGTACATGTTTCGATCCCAAGATCTCCTTCTCTGAGAAAATTCCAGCAAACTTCTTTCTAAAACATGAGGCGACTAGTAATGCCCTGGACCACAAAGAATGGCATTAAGTCAGCCAATCAGACACGTCGAAAATTAATAAAATTATTCAAGTATTAAGTACCATAATCTCGCTGCAAAAGACAATGAATCAATGAACTTTTGAAGAGGACTTTGGGAGTGTGATTTCAAACGACACCTGCCAGAACAAAATCAGGTGTAAATACTGGATTAAAATTAATACTGTTCACACATGTAAAATTATGATTGCAAGCTCTAACCCGGTTTCTAATGGGGAAAATGACTCCACGCGGATGCTAGTCCTAAAGCAAGCACCAAGTATCATCATTTTTGCCCATGGAAATTTTGGATCAACAAAATGAACATTTTTTAGAGTTACCTAAATAAAATAAGAAAGCATGTTAACAATTGATAAGAGATTGTCGGATACATCAACACAGTCACAAAACTACTCCAACCTCCACAAGCATGTCAAAGAAAAATCTATATTATTGTGAAACTGACATCACAAAGCAAAGTGGCTGAGAAACATACAATTGCACCAAGTCTGACACTGTGTGGCACATTGATATGCTGATCTGTTAATAATAATATAACATCTCGATCTAACTCAACAACCACTCCCTTCATGTAAATACCAGTAATGACCCCAGTATAGTTACCAAATTCAGCATTTCTTCTGATTTTTGCATTGTGAATGCGACCTTGAACCTTGACCATAGCAATGTGCAATGATGTTTCATCTGTTGTTACGTGCATCAGTTGAGACTCTTCTTTCTTTATATAAACCAGTCTTTTCTTTAAACCCATTAAAAGAACTATGTTGCCAATAAACCGTGACATCATGGGATGCCATGATGATGTCGAGCCACAAAAGTACGCAATCGCTGTCTTACTAAAATAATGGTCTTTGACATTAATCTCACTCAGATCTTTCAGTTGCCGTACCAGAAATTTCGAAGCACAAAATTCGCACTGACAGGTAAGAAGACTAACAAGAAACCCACTAACATTTTTCGAACTACTCTCCCCATTTGTGCAAGGAACAACAAATACAGGACTTATGGACTCAATAGCACCAAAAATCAAACAGCTAGTTTTGATTTTATCCTTAACGTCACAAGCTCCAAAATTTAAGTAACACGGACCCAAATTCGGATAACAACAAACTTCCCCAGTCCATGCTTGGAGAAAATCCCAGGAAATAATCTCCAGAAACCCACTCTTGACACCCTTATTATCACATTTCAGAGGAATAAAATTCCAAGCGAGGACCTTAATCTCTCTGCCAATCATTATTGGGTCGAAGTCCAAGACATCACAGCAAATGGTAGCGGAATAATCAGAAAACTGAAAGCAACTGCACTTGATCGGTGAGGTAAGCTCAAAGAAAGAGGGCAGTGTAAGAGCTCCGACGAGGGTGGTCGGCTGATTCAAAGGTTCGAGCGTCTTAGGGTTAGGATCTTGCAGGGTAGCAGAAGAGGGTTTCTTCCGATTGTCATGGCCAGGATTCTTTTGGGGCTTTGAGATGAAGATAGGACGGGCGGCGACGAGAGGTGAGGCGGCCGTGAGGGGGCGGCCACGCTGAATGATGTGGGAGATGGTTAAAGCAGTATTTGTTACATCTTCCATTACATGAGCATATTACAGATTTCGTAGGTTTGTCTGTCTCTGAGAGAGAGCAGAAGTGAAGAATGAGCAGGCGGGAATACTAAAAGGAGGGGAAATCATGTTTCAATTTGTCAGCTTAAAAAATAAAAATGGTCATATTGTGGAAATAAATGAAATACTAGGTATGTAAATGGGTCGAGTCGGTTACGGGTTTTGGCAAACCCAAACTCGACCCGCATATAATTTACCCTACCCAAACCCGACCCATTACTCGGCTAGTGATCTTCGGGTTGGGGTTGGGTTTAACCCGACGGGTTAGTGAGTTTTCATCAGGTAAACGGGTAACCCGAGTCTTACATTTGGGAGTTACCCGACCCATCTCGTTTCATATGAAAAAAAAATAATAATATTTTCAAAATTAATTATAATGTAAGAAATAATTTATTAACTAAGTTTGACAATAAAAGATTATAAAAGATTATAAAAAATTATATTATTGAATAAATAATGAGATATAATTATTTATCTTTTATAATCACTTTAATATTATAACATTTAAAAAATAAGTATTTAATTTTTTTTATTGTTAAATTAATAAAAAATGATAATAAAATTATAAAAATAAAATAAAATTTAACAATTAATCAATATTATAATAGATAATCTAATTTTTAAAAATACACATGACTACTTTTATATTTATAATAAATCATATATATATATATATATATATATATACATATATATAGGGATTGGATCCAATGAGTCCACATATTTAAAGTGTGAATGTGAGACCCATTCCTAGCCATTAGATTTGTACATTATGTGTGGCTAAGATTAACTCTTCAATTAAATAATAATTCTTTATTTTTATTACTTATTTCTTTATTTTATTATTTTAA